ACTTGACCACTTAAATAGGGATAAAAAAAGACATTTCCCAAATAAAGTGGACTGCACCACTATCTCTACCAACATTCACGTCTTCCTCACATATACACACACTTGCACACAAACTATTTACATATACACTGGCCTGATGCTCTCGCCGCCCAGCCTTTTAAGCGCGATGTCGGCAGATCTTCTAAGCGCCGTGCCGTCCTTCTAAGCGCCGCCTTCCGGCCGACAAAGCGTCACAACCGTTCATCAATTCGCCGCCGGAGCGGCATTCAATCCGATGTCGGCCGAGCGTCAAAGCACCGCAGCCCTATCGTCGAAGCACCGCCGCCTCTAGTATTGTCGACGACATCATCCACGCATCCTACAGAGCCCGACACCATTGCCATATATCAGCCTGCCATCTATCAACAAACCCGCAACCACCGCTTCCAACAGCCCCGCTACCACAGACGCAAGTTGTCCTCACCGTTATATCCTTCCGCCACGTCGCTATAGCCACCACCAATTCCCCAACAGCGCAGTTACCACCTTACCAAATCGACCCGNNCCCCAACAGCGCAGTTACCACTACCAAATCGACCCGCCACCACTGACACAACCACTCCTTCCTGCAAATCGGAGAAAGCCGTCGATCCGGGGCAGCGACATCACCATCTGAAGCTCCATTCTCAAAGCCGACGGAAGGGACGAGGATGGCGGCAGATCTATTCAGAGGATACTAGCGGGATGCGTAGAGAAGAAATGCTTTTCCAGTTGTGGTGCGTTAAATTGTGGGTAAGGGTCTATGTTTTGGAAATTAGAGAACCATGAAGGATGTATTTGCACTTTTGTAAGTCTGATATGTAGTACATGTAATTGGGATTTTGAGTTATTAATGTAAACAATGATAATTAAACGAAATTTAAAAATCCGAAATGAAAATTTTGGTTTTGACGTAATCGGTTTAATTTTTCGGTTAACATAAATAATCGAAATAATCGACATAAATTATATTATTTATTACAAGAAGACATGATTAATATTTAATATTATTTTTATTTGACATTTTTATATTATTTTTTATTAGAAAATGTATATACGTAAACGAAATATATGGTGCAATCTAACAATTGTTAAGGTACTATATCACTGTGGTGCACGCTGTCGGTCTATATTGTACATATTGAACCAACTGATATTTTGTCCCAAATCGTATTGAAAATGAACATAATTATATGGTTTATTCGGTTTGGCTAACGAATTATACTATTATATTAAATTATATTCATGTTAAGAATTTTATTTATTATTTTTATATTATTTTTTGATGAAAAAATTTGTGTTCGGTTTCAATCTCTATTGTGAAATCCACCTTAATATGATATTTGTGATTAAGTGCACAGTGTCGTTTTGTAAAGTGCAATGTGTTGCATTATAAAGTGCAACATGTTGATGTATAAAGTGAACTACTGTAGTTTTGCTACGTTAGAGTATGCTTGTGTTTTGTTTGGATAAATGATGTGAGTGATGTTAAAGTATCATGCATATCTGTTTTTTCAGATTTATGTTGTATAGTATTTTTGGCGAGAATTATCGACGTTGATTGTGTAGTGTGGCGATAAAGTAAAACGTGTTGTTTTATAAAGTGTAATCTGTTATTTCTTAAAGTGCAACGTATTGATATATAAAGTGCACTACTTTATATGATGATCACATAAATCATGTGTTCTTGAAAACTAGATTTAGTAAATATAATTGTACATCGAATTAACCTAAATAATTGAAATAATTTATTATTTATTATTATAAAAATATATTTATTAATTTAATATTTTTATGTATTAATATTTTACATATTAAAATTTTTAAATATTGTACACTTTATTTTTTTATTAATATGCATATATGAAAATATTGCTACAAATTACATAGGGAAAAAATATTTTTCACCCCAATACAAAAATATATTAAGTTTTTCACACCGCCCACTAACAATCTAACTTTTTCACCCCGAAAAGTGCGAAGGTTATGCGATAGACTGCATAACTGTCGCATATCAATTGCATAACTGTCGCATATTCATCGCACAATGCATTCGCACTTTAATTTTTTTCACCCCAGAAAGTGCGAAGGATATGCGAATGCCTTCGCACTTTTAACTTTCGCACAACGTCATCGCGATTGTCGCATATTCATCGCACAATGTCTTTCGCACTTTAACTTTTTTTCACCCCATAAAGTGTGAAGGATATGCGAATGCCTTCGCACTTTTAACTTTCGCATAATGTCATCGCGCAATTGTCGCATATTTATCGCACAATGCTTTTCGCACTTTCTGGGGTGAAAAACTCAGCTTTTTATTGGGCGGTGTGAAAAACTTAACATGACTTCAAAACGGAGTGAAAATAGCTATTTTCATATTAAGTAAAGAAAACAAGGAAATTGGAATAAATATATAAGTAAGCCAACAAATAAATATAAATATCCTAAACGCGGAGAGGATCGCATTTTGCGCCATCAAAACATCTTTGATTTTATTTTATTTTATTTTCCAAGACTCAATTGAAGGATAAAGTAACTGAATCCCATTCAACAGCGTAGAAGGGAAAGTAAGCTAACAATCATACTCAGAATCTTTGTGCGTCGTGCTAGCGATCAACATGTCAAATATGGTGTATACCTTTCAACTAGATACAAAATCAGTAAACATTTTGCATCAACACGAAGTTTTATAGTAGTGTGTTATTATTTGATATACTTAACAAACCAACTCAACAAGTCCTTGTGAGCCTCTTCTGCCATCTTCACAGCAGCTTTGTCTGTATCGTTATACTTTAAGGTCCAACCATGTTTAACTCCCGGAAATATCTTTACAAAGCTCTCAACCTGTCCCACAGAGGGGAAAAAAATAAAAAAAAAAAAAA